AACAATCAGCCACCATAGCAGCAAGATGTAATGACTGTAGTGCATCAGGTTGACTTAGTGGAATTCAGTGTCACCGCTTTGCTTTCTTACAGGGAAGCAGCAGTTCCCCCCCCCCCCCAAAAAAAAAAATTGTGCTTCTTTGGTCACTGGATATAATAATTGGCAGACCTGCTTTCATTTCCTGTTCTCAATGCAAGACTTATAGAAATGTACTGTACTTTGCAAATCTCAGTGCACTATGACAAATCTTATTTTGGAAATTAATTTAAGTGAAAAGCAAACCCCCCAACTTACCAAATATGGCCATATTTTCCTTTTTCCCCCAAGGTCACTTTTGTAATTATAAAAGCAAATGCAGGATTTAAGGTATCAATTTATATCAGTTGAAAATGTAGTTATCAATTCTGCCAGGATGCATGCAATGCACCAGTCAATCAGGACTGAATCTATGATTCAGATGAAAGAGGTTAATTTTTTTTACCAGCCATACACTTAGGAAATTGTTACCAGAAAATATATTATTCTGATGCTTGTATTTATTTTTCAATCTAAACATTTGTTTTTTTAAAAAAAAAAATTCAACATATTTCTTTATTAACTTCAATTATTACAGTGTTTTTGCCCAAGAATAGGAAACAATGACTTTTGTAAAGATGATTTAACTGAATGGAATCTAACTTATTACGAAGCTCTTAAGATTAACCTTCAGGCTCTGACTTTCCAAAAGGGCTGATATGTTTATAGGATTCCACAATGTGGAAAAGCTCAGGATTCAACTCTGACAATCTTTCCTGCATTTTGGGTTGCAGCAGAATATTTGTTAATTAATATCTCAATTATAATTTCATATAATTGTGAAACGGGTTCCTAAAGAAAAGTGTATTTAAATCTAGGAGCAACAGAGAACAAAATAATACGTCACTACTTAGTTTTAGCTTACTAAATTTCATCTAGCAAAATAAAAAAATAAAAGAATCCTACAGGATGAGAAATTTCCAAGAGCTCAAAATGGTGCTTCCACCTCAGCTAACCAAGAGCAAAAGTGGAAAAAAAAAAAACAAGATTTCCACTCTGTCACTTCTCTGGTTAAAGTTAAGAAGATACTTCCCTCATGTGCAGTTAATTCTTGGAAATGCCTGTTGTTGAAAGAATAGGCGCGCTGTTGAAATATATAATTATTTCATTGATTTCCTGGTTGAAAACTGACCAAATATTCTGAAGAACAATTATCTTTAAAACCTACTTATTTTTTCAGTCACAAAGCAAACAAACACATTTCCATTCTTTGTGGAGAAAAGAATTAACAATATTTTAGGAACAAACACATTCCAACACACAGGTCATGTTTTCAAAGATGATCTGAAATAAACTCTAACAAGCTCCCTGGCAGAAGGAATATGTGAACCATAAATGTCCTAGTCTACCATTCTTAGCCACCACACCAGACCTTTAATTAACAGTTTATTTCTGCCTACACAGCATTTGGCAGAGTTTAGATGTAATATGGTGCAGAATAACGTTTGGTTGAAAAGCCAAAACAAAAACCTTTGCTCTTTCTTGCACAAAAGGAAAGGGAGGGAAAAGATCAAAGATGCCTTCAGGTCACTTGCACTAAGTTTCTCCTCTCGCTTAGCATAAAATAGTATCTAAACAATCATAAGTCTTCCAATTACTCAATTGGTCCTTAATAAAAGTAAGGAAACTTTCTATTTATAGAAATGCATAGAATTTGTCTTTTTCCCTGAGCTCTGACTCAGTTCTGATTGGTTGGTTGGCTGTTTTTAAATACTATATGAATCCAGTATTCAATCCAATTTAGAAATATATAGAAGACTGATGCCAAAACTCATAATTGCAACCATGGATTTGAAAGTGAAAAGTGAAAGTGAAAGTACTGTGGTATTAACTTTATCAACAATCTTTAGGCATTTTGAAGAATAATTTGGCCCTTCTCGATATGTGCTGAGATATGGGAAGTTTATTTGCAGAGAAGTGAAGACTGCAAATTCTCAATTACAAGCACTGAACCCTAACCTTTTACAAGGGAAAGAATGACATTTCCAGAATAGTGTTACCAATCAAATACAAGAAGGAAGGTGAACAAGCTGAATTTAAATCCAGACAAGATAGAGGTATTGGCCTAGGATTAAATCTAATGTTTTCTGATGTAGATATATTATGATTCAGAATTTAAGATAACCGTTTGGAGGAAACTCCTCAGCCCATCCCTGTTCTTGGCCTTCCATGTAGTGATGACGAAAAGGAACAGATTACGCACAGTATGTCAACCTCTCTGGTTTCAGATATAATTGGGTCTTGGTAGTTTATCCATAAAGTGTCCCCTGATTAACAGCCCTGTAAGCAGTTTCTTCTCTACTTCACTCCCAAGCTGGAACCCTCTTTCAGGAAGGTCATCAGGTCATGTTTTTAGTTTAGTATTTTGAAATGTTCAGTTTGATAATATTACTGATATTTTCCATTTGGAAATATACCACATCAACTAATTCATTAATATTGCATTTTGTTTGTAGTAGTCATTTTGAGCGCAATTTGATGACAGAAAGGTAAATGCAAGCAGGTAAATATATTAGCACTGCTAGGCTTCATGTCAGTGAAACGTGAAAACCTCATTTTATGGATTTGCAATGTATTTCAGAGCACACAGACAGATTTTGTTTATCTGGTTATTTTAGACAAACAGCTCTAAATTGACCTGAGACCTTAGGATTTCGTTTTTGCTACCACATCAGGCAGGACACCCATTTTCTGTTCCTCAAGCTTCCTTGCCACATTTACCATTCCCTTTTTGGCTGGTGGGGCAGGCGGCCGGGGAGAAGGGCCCCTCTCTCTTCACCTTGCCAGCCTCGGGTCCCGCTCAACCCCCTTCCCTTCTCTGCTTGCCACAGATCCCTTATGGCTGAATGAAGAAAGGAGCGTCCGAACTTTTCAGCGGAAGCCAGGAACTTTCCAAATGGCCGAGGGCCCCTCATCCCACTCTAAGCAGTTAGGGAAGGAAGCCTCTTGGGCCCCAGGCGGGAGCCCCTTCGGCTTCGCTGCCCTTCTCCTCGCCCGCCGGCCCCACTTCCTGGTATCCGTCCCTCCCTGCTCAGCCCCATTACATCACCGGAGAGCAGGCACCGTCACCCTTCCGGCAGCCCCTCGGCAGGAGAACCGCGGATGGCCAGCGCCCCCCCCCCCCCCCCCCGCGCCCCCCCGGCGCCCCCTCGAGGGGCCCCCCCCCCCCAGCAACGCCCGGCCCCAGCCGAGACCCAGGTCCTACCGGGGCCTCCGAGACAGCCGCCCCGCTCCCGGAAGCGCCGGCTGGGCGAAGTCCACCAAAGTCGAGGCGGCGCTGCCCGGGCCCCTGGCCGAGGCCGGAGAAACTTTCCAGGCCCGGCAACGGCGGCGAGTTGGGGCGGCGCTCACGGAGCTTCGGCGGCGCTCACGATGGCCCTGGCGCCTGGCCTGGGGCCGCTGGGGACGGGGAGAGGCCGCGGCCGGGCTTACCTCCGGCTCCGGCCGCCCAGGAGCAGAGCAGGACGAGGACCCTCAGCAGCACCATCTTCGCCCGGCCCGGCCGCCAGCCACAGCCAGGTGGCCGCCTCTCGCCGCCGCCTATCCGCGAAGCATCCGCCCGGCCGGGGAAGGAAGGGCGTAGAGACCGCGCGGCACCGCTTCCTCTTCCTCCCGCCGCCGCCGCCGCCGCCGCCGCCCGCCTGCGGCCTCGTTCCGGTTCCCACCAAAAGTACCACAGAACAAGCTCCCTCCCTTAGGCGGACGGGCGCGCGCGCGCGCGCCTCACACGCCGCTCGGCCACCGGGCCGGCCAGTCAGCGCAGGCCGCGCGCGCCCCCGCGGCCAGCAGCTGCCCTCCCTCCCCCGGCACAGCCAGTCACAGGCAGCGTCCGAGAGAGAGGGGAGGAGCTTCGCCGGAGCCCGCCCCTTCTGCTTTGCCGAAGGCGCGCTTTCGTTTCCCTTCACGCGCCTCTCCGGCGTCACCTGATCGGAGGGGAGGGACGGGCGGGCGGGCGTGTTGCGCCACCCGCCTGCGCAAGTGCCCGGGGGCGGGAGCCGCGGGGCCGGCCTTACAGGGGAAGGCGGCCGCCTCCTGGCTGCTCTGCCGGGGCTGGCCCGGCTGGGGCTCGTCGGGGCGGAGCTTGGCTCTTGCCCTCCCGGCCCTCTTTGCCCCCGAGTTGGTCAGGATGCTGGGCGGCTGCCGCCTCTTCCGCAGGGCAAACCGAGCCGTCGACTCGGGGCGCTGGAAGTCGAGGCGGGGTCGAGTCTGCCCCGCCGCGGGGTCCTCTTCCACAGGATCGGCCTCGGTGCCCGTCCCGGAGCCTCCCAAGGTTCTCGGTTGCTCGCCCACGGGGGACGCAGCGGGCTAAGCTGGATGCGGCCTCGGCTCTCCTTGCACTTGTCGCTCCCCGGCGTTCGGACGACCGGCCCCTTTGGAAGGTTCCCCGGATGAGTCCCCTCCGATTCGGACGCCGGCCTCGCCGCTTCGTGTTTTGCCCTCAGAGAGAGAGGAGGAGGAAAGAAGCGGCGGTCCCGGATTCGGCCCAGGGAGGCGGCTGAGCCTCAACGGAGGCCGCTCGGGCTCCCGGTTACGGCCCGGGCTAGAAACCGGGTGTGGTGAGTCCCCGTCCCCGCCAGGCTGGAGCCAGCGGCTGGGAGGGGGGAAGGAGGGTCTGCGAGCCGCAAGTTCAGGGCTTCCCGGGAAGGCCGCCGCCCCGAGAGCGCTTCCGCTGCCGAGCGGTTCCGGAGGGCCGCCTCTCGCCCACCTCCCCGGCCACCTGAGCGGCGAGGGCGAGCGCCGCTGCTCCCGGGTTCCCTTCTCCCGGCCACGGACGGAAACCAATCGGGGGGGGGGGGCGGGGGGGGCAGAGCCGGCGGGCCGGGAAGGGAGCGGCGGCCGCACGTGCGACTCCGCCCCCACTGCGCCTGCGCGCCACGCCCTCCCGGCCGCGGGGCGGGGCCTCCGCCTGTCATGGCGGCGCGGTAGCGGGCCCGGCCCGGGCGCGGCGGCGGCATGGAGGCTCCGCCCGAGCGGCCGGCGGAGCAGAAGCATCAGAGGCCTCCGTCGCCCCCCGCGCCGGCCCGGGAGCGCGCCCCGCCGCAGGCCGTGTACCACCTGAAGTGGGTGCGGTGGCGGGAGGCGAGCGCGCCGGTGGTCACGCAGAACGAGAACGGGCCCTGCCCGCTGCTGGCCGTCATGAACGCGCTGCTGCTGGCCTGGAAGGTGACGCTGCCGCCCATGATGGAGCTCATCACCGCCGAGCAGCTGATGGAGTACCTGGGTGGGTGCCGGCCAGGGGCGCCCGGAGCCCGCGCTGCCCTGGGAGCCGCCGCCGTGCAGGCCGGGCGGGGGGAGGCTGCCCCGTCCGGGAGGCCCCTTCGGAGAGGCGGGGGTGGAAAATGGGGGCCCGGGAAAAGGGAGGCGGCAGTCCGGAGGCTTCTCCGGCTGCGTTTCTTTTGGCTGACACCCCCCCCCCCTCTCTGGAGGCGCCGCCCGGGCCCTTTCCTGAGCGCCGAGACGGTTTTCGGGTTTGACAACTGAACCTTCGGTGGTCGAGAAGGAGGCGCGGAGCTCCTGGCCGGCCTGCCCTGCTGGAGTGAAGGGAAGCCCGCTGGCAGGAAGGGCCGCTGCCCCCGCCGACAGAAGCGGCTCCTCGGGCCGAGCGTCTGAGCGCTGGCTCCAGGTTGAAGAGATCCGCCCAGTCCAACCGCTTCAGCAGGCTCGGATCCCTCGCCCCAGTGGAGGACAGTCTGTAGCTTGCAAGATTGGTCGAATGGGTTTGGATTGCAGAGGGATGGTTTTCAAATGAGAACTTTTGGTTTCCTTGCAGGAGACTATATCCTTGATTCAAAACCAAAAGAAATCTCTGAAATCCAACGTGTAAACTATGAACAGGTAAAACGCTTAACTTGAAGTGGTATTTCCTAACAGTGAACTCTAATGCTTTCATTTTTCCATTGGCATAAATGCCCAATCAAATTCCAAGTACCGAAGCCGCCTCCTTTGCACGACAGGAACATAGAGTCACACTTTTGTATACTTTTTCACATTGTGAAGGAAAAGATGGTTTTGGCGAAGTCGTCTAGGTTTCAGTGCATACGTCCTGTTTCACAATAGGACAGTTAGATCGGGACTGCAAAAATGCCCATGATCAATAGATGGCAGCATTCAGAAAATTCCAAGTCTTCGCTGCCAACCGCTGATCATCTAGAATTTTGCAGTGCAAATCGAGTAGTTCTCTTTAACGTGAAAGCGGTTGTAGTGTGAGGCAGCCTGGAGGTTTCGTAGTACAGGGGCAGATGCGCTCAGATGACTTCAGCTTCTTCATTAATTTTTGTCTTGGTCTTAACAGAACGTGAGTGATGCAATGGCTATCCTGCACAAGCTTCAGACCGGTCTTGACGTGAACGTGAAGTTCACTGGGGTACGAGTGTTTGAATACACACCCGAATGCATTGTGTTCGATCTTCTTGATATTCCATTATATCACGGGTGGTTAGTAGATCCTCAGGTAAGCAAGAGGCTGTTTATGTGATTAGTATTATGGCAGGAAAACACTGTTTTAATATTTAATGCCAAAAGTTCCAACAGGAAGAGGCATTTCAATTTAGCAAGGCTTTTAAAAGCCATTGAAATAAGTGAGCTGCTAAGGGGTCCTAAAAATCACGGGGAACAAGCTTTGCTAAAGGCCCAAGGAAGAGCAAGAAAAGGCCCACATTCTCTGGCTTTTGACTCCAAGGGTCTGGAAAAACAGGGCCGTTGGAGGGCTTTTTTAGAATGGGGTTGCAGGAAACCCTCAGGGAGAAGCCACTGCAGGAAAGACGCTCTCAGTGCACCCAGCCAGCCCCTCTCTGGGAAGGCAGAGTGGTAGACGATGGGAGAAGAGCTCAGCTGACAGGCAGCTCCCTGGGCTCGTGGGCTGCTGCAGTGGCTTCCGGCCTTCTTGGTGCAGGCCATTGCCTCATCACCCAGGGGGCTTGAAGACCCCTCCCTGAGCGACAGGCAGGCACCAAAATGTGGATCTCGGTGTTGGCCCAAATCTCACCAGATGCATTTGAGAGAAGCCGCCCCTTGGAGCGAGGGGTCTGCTGGAAGGCTTGTTTTGCCCTTTCAGCCACCCGGCCGCTGGCAAGAGCCCCCTCTGCTGCACCTTTCTGCTGGGGTCCGTTTAGCAGATGGTGGGCTTGATCGACGGCGGCCCTTTTCTTTTGCTGCAGGTTGGAGACATTGTGAAAGCCGTTGGTAACTGCAGCTACAACCAGTTGGTGGAAAAAATCATCTGCTGTAAGCAGTCAGACAATAGCGAGCTGAGAAAGGAAGGTGGGTGCGGCTGGGAAGCCCTGCGGTTCAGAGCAAACGTTCCTCTGATCCAGCATCCTTGTTGGCCACCCTCCGTGGCTCAGCCAGGCAGGAAGGCCGGACAAGGGCCAGAGCCCTGGGCCGCTTCTGTTCCCAGCGCTTCCTTCGGAGAGGCCCCATGACCTGCTGGTGGCTCGGGAGGTTCTCCTTGCTGGAAATGGGAGGGGCCTTCTGGCTGGAGCTCGTGGAGCTCCCGTGCTCTCTTGGGGGGAAAGGAGGGGCCTCCTGAGAGCTGAGCTGGGTTTTCTCAAGGAAAGCTGGACTGACAGACTTTCGGATTCCTGACTTGGTTTCTTGGTTTCAATTCTTCGTGGTCCACCTGCTTGAGCTGATGAGCCCAGGGATGCTTTCTCCCTTTGTCTCCCTGCTGTGGGTTTCTGCTCATGGGGTTTTCCCTTCTGACCCACCCCAGCCATCCCTTTGTCCTCGCCTTCAGGCTTACTTTGGATCGGATTTGGGAGCAGAGCAAAGCGACTAGGAGGCTAAACTAGAAACGGCTCCCGGGGGAGGGGGGGTGGGGACCCTGGAGTGAGTCTGTGCGCCTTCTTCACACGCAGTGGTGTCTCTTTGCAGGCTCCATAGCAGAGCAATTCCTCAGTAGCACAGCCACTCAGTTAACTTACCATGGCTTGTGTGAGTTGACATCCACCGTTCAAGAAGGAGAGCTGTGCGTGTTCTTCAGAAACAACCACTTCAGCACCATGACCAAACACAAGGTAGCTGGCCACACACGGCACCGTTCTTTCCCCTGGGACCCTGGCCAGCCTTCAGCACCTGGGCTGCTGTAGCCCTTCTGCCTGGTCAGCAAGGGGCCCTCCGTTGCCTCCGATGGGCAGGCCGGCTGTGCCTGCCTGGCACGGCAGCCTGAGGAGCCACTAAGGCCAAGGCGCACAGCCTCTGGATGCTGGGGGGCCTGGGGGTTGCATGCCCTCCCCTCCCCCTCCCTGGGCCTCTCCCCAGGCGTCCTTGGCTCTTGGCTTTTCTCTCTGCTTTGTTTTCCCAGCTTCTCCCTCTCCTCCCTCCCTGACCCTCCGCATTCTTTTGGTCTCCACCGCCTGCTGCTTTACCGGCTGAGCTCTTTCCTGCCCCTGCAGCTAGCATAAGAGGCCTGCAGATGCTCTGGCACCAGAAAAAAGAAAGAAAAATAATAGTTGTCCCCCCGCCCACAAGCTGGCTGCCCGCAGAATGGGACAGAAGCCGCCCTAAACATGTGATGTGTGGCAAAGCCAGGAGGAGCACATCCCGCGACCAGGGTTCCCTCCCGGAGACCTTTCCTGGTTGTGCTTTTCCATGTTTGTTTTCCCGAGGGTGCCCGGGAAGCAGGAAGGGAGCAGCCCTTCCGTGGCGTGTGACAGGGTTGCTCCGAGAGGAGCCCCGCTTGGTTTCAGAGGGTGGGGGGGGGG